CTATGAGTTGGAATTGACTGAATAGCAATGGGTTTGGTTTTTTAACACCTACTAGGGGCTCTGGTGGGAGCTCTGGTGGCGTAGTGCCCAAGACATTTGACTGCTAACCAGAAGGCTGGTGGTTCAAACCCACCAGCCACACCTTGTAAGGAAGGTTAGGCAATCTACTTCCATAGTGATACTGCCTTGGAAACCCAAGGAGGGGTTAGTATGAGTCAAAATCAACTCCATGGCAGTGAATTTGTTTGTTTATTTTTAAGGTGTATCATCCACCACTCATCTCTCAGTTTGTTGTACTGTGGTGGCTTGGATGCTTTTGTGAGGCTGAAGGTTATGCCACTGTTATTTCAAATACCAGCAGGATCACCCATGGTGGACAGCTTTCATCAAAGCTTCCAGACTAAGACAGACCGGGAATAAGGATGTGGTCATCCATTTCTGAAAAAAAAAAATGGCCAATGAAAACTTTATAGATAGCAGTGACTCACTATCTTTTACTCTAAAATTTTGTGAATAGTCCTGAAACATTATCTGATACAATGCCAGAAGATGAGCCCCTCAGGTTCGAAGGTACTCACACTACAACAGGGGAAGAGCTGCCTCCTCAAAGTAGAGTTGACCTTAATGATGTGGATGAAGTAAAGCTTTCAGGACCTCCATTTGTTGACGGGGCATGACTCAAACTAGGAAGAAACAGCTGCAAAAATCCATTAGTAATAGGAACATGGAATGTATGATGTATGAAGCTAGGATAATTGGAAGTTGTCAAAATGAAATGAGATACATAAAGATTGATATCCTAGGCATTTGTGAGCTGAAGGATTTATATTGGCCATTTGGAATTAGACAATTATGTGGTCTAATACGTGGAGAATGTCAAACTGAAGACAAATGATATTGCATTCATCTTTAAAAGGAATGTATCAAGATCTATCCTGAAGCAGGTGCTGTCAGTGATATGATAATATCCATATACCTATAAGGAAGATCTGTTTATACTACCATTATTCAAAGTTACACATCAACCACTAAAGCCAAGTATGAATAAATTGAAAATTTTTGCCAACCTCTGCAGTCTTAAATTGACCAAACATGCAATCAAGTTGTATTGATTATTACTGGTGATTGGAATGTGAAAGTTGGAAAGAAAGAAGAATCATTAGGAGTTGGAAAAGATGGTCTTGGTGATAGAAATGAAGCCAGAAATTGCATGATAGAATTTTGCAAGACTAACAACTTATTCATTGCAAATATCTTTTTCCAACAACATAAATGGTGGCTATACACATGGAACTTGCCAGATGGAATACATAGGAAGGAAATTGACTACATCTGTGGAAAAAGGCAATGAAGAAGCTCAGTATCTTCAGTTAAAAGCCGACTGTAGAACAGACTGTAGAATCAACTATCCATATGCAAGTTCAAGTTGAACCTGAAGAAAATTAAAACCAAAAATATGACCTTGATTATATCTCATCTGAATTTAGAGACCATTTGAAGAACAGATTTGATGCACTGAACACCAATGACCAAAAACCAGAAGATTTGTGCCATGACATCAGAAAACATCATACATGAAGAAAACAAATGATCATTAAAAAGACAAGAAAGGAAGAAAAGGTGAAAATGGATGCCAGAAGAGACTGTGAAACTTGTTTTTGAATGGAAAGTAGTTAAAGCCAATAGAAGAAATGAAGAGATAAAAGAGCCAAATAGCAGATTTTAAAAGGCAAGTTGAGAAGACAAAGAAAAATATTATAATGAAATGTGCAAAGACCTGGAGTTAGAAAACCAAAAGGGAAGGACACTCTTAGCATTTCTCAAGCTGAAAGAACTGAAGAAAAATTCAAGCCTCGTGTTGTTATATTGAAAGATTGCAGAGTAGTAAATTACTCAGTATGGCTTTTCTACCCATATCATTGTAAACTCAGTGGTGGAATGAGCAACTGAGGAGCTCCTGATTGTAAATATTATCCACCCAGGTTATTTCTTTTGGGAGTGGCACAATGCAATGTTATGGGAGGTTCACTCTCAAGTGCTTAGAGTTCTGATGCTATGATTGGCTAGTTTGACCACTCTGCCAAGCTCAAAAGGAGGCCTCCTAGAGGCAGAACTCTCTCTGACTGCTGGTTGAGGAAGATGTGCTGCTGAAAGATACACACACGCCTGAGACATGCATTGCTGGGAAAGAGATGTAAGAGACATGCATTGCTGAGTGAGACACCGAGGGACCAGCATTGCTGGGAAAGAGACTGTGACAGACTGTTGGCTGAGGGACGGTGGGCTGGGAGAGAGACTAAGTGTTTTTTTTCTGAACTCAAATTGTAGCCTGTGGTGCTTCCCTAATAAACCCCATAATCTGTGAGCTCTGTGTGGCCACTGCAGCGAATTATCAAACCCAGGAGTGAGGTGGTGGGTGCTCTGGGAAGAACGGTTGGAGAAAGGGCTGGCGGGAGGCAGCATGTCTGGCCTCACAGGAACAGGCCTTGGGCTATTGATGGTGATTCTGTCTTGCTCTTGTGGGACTAGAGGAGGTCAGAACATGTGGCCTGCTTGCCCTTTTTGCAAAGATTCTAAGGGCAAAATATTGAATGATGCAGTCTAAAGAAGATGGAAGGAATACACAGAGTCACTCTACCAAAAAGAATTAGCTGATGTTCCACTATTTCAGCATGTAAACAAGAACAAATGGTATTGAGGAAAGAAGTCCAAGCTGCACTGAAGGTATTGATGAATAACAATCCTCCAAGAATTGACAGAATATCCATTGAGATTCTTTAACAAATGGATATAACTCTGGAAGCACTTACTCATTTATGCCAAGTAATTTGGAAAATACCTACCTGGTCAACTGAATGAAAGAGATTGATGTTTGTGCCCATTTCAAAGAAGGTGATCCACCAGAATGTGGGAATTACTGAAAAATGTCATTAGTATAACATACAAGTAAAATTTTGCTGAAGATAACTCAAAAACAGTTACAGTAGTATTCTGACAGGGAACTTCATGAAATGCAAGCTGGATTGAGAGAGAGTGTGGAATGAGGGATATCATTGCTGATATCAGCCAGATGGATCTTGGCTGAAAGCAAAGAATATCAGAAAGATGTTTGCTTCTCTTTTATTGACTATGCAAAGGCATTTGACTTTGTGGATCATAATGTATTATGGATAACATTGAGATGAATGGAAATTCCAGACCACTTAATTGTACTCATGAGGAACCTGTACATAGACCAGGAGGCTATTGTTCAAACAGGACAAGGGGATTCTGCATGGTTTAAAATCAGGAAGGGAGTGCATCAGGGTTGTGTCATTTCATCATACTTGTTCTATCTGTATGCTGAGCAAATAATCCAAGAAGCTGGACTATTGAAGAAGAATGAATCATCAGGATTGGAAGAAGACTCATTAATAACCTGCACTATGCATATAACACAACTTTGCTTGCTGAAAGTGAGGATGACTTGAAGCACTTACTGATGAAGATCAAACACTGCAGTCTGTAATATGGATTACACCTCAACATAAAGAAAACAAAAATCACCAAAACTGGAGAATAAGCAACATCATGATAAAATAGATAAAAGATTGAATTTGTCAGGGATTTCATTATATTTGGATCCACCATCAACAGCCATGGAAGCAGTGGTCTAGAAGTCAGATATTATATTGCATTGGGCAAATCTGCTGGAAAAGACCTCTTCAAAGTGTTGAAGAGCAAAGATGGGTGCCTAACCCAGGCCATGGTATTTTAATAACCTCATATGCATGTTAAAGCTGGACAATGAACTCTAAGAAGAGTTGATGCCTTTGAATTATGGTGTTGGTGAAGAACACAGAAACTGTCATGGACTGCCAGAAGAATGAACAAATCTGTCCTGGAAGAAGTGTGGCCAGTATGCTTACTGGAAGCAAGAATGGCCAGACTTCATCTTACCTACTTTGGTCACATTTTCAAAAGGGACTATTCCTTAGGGAAGGATATCATGCTTGGTAAAGTAGAGGGCCAGTGAAAAAGGGGGAGACCCTTAACAAGACGGATTGACACAGTGGCTATAATGATGGACTCAAGTATAGGAAGGATTATGACGATGGTACACAACTTAGCAGTGTTTTATTCTGGTGTACATAGGGTCACTATGAGTTAGAGCCAACCTGACAACACCTAACAACAACAACAATAGGTGTACCATTGAAGATTTCTGGTGGCACAGTGGTTAATGCATTTGGCTGCTATCTAAAAGGCAGGTGGTTCGAACCCATCACACCCTCCATGGGAGAAAGATGAGAAAGTCTGCTTGCTTCCATAAAGATTTATAGCCTTGGAAACCTTATAGGGTACCTGTACTCTGTCTTGCAGGGTTGCTTTGAACTGGAATCAACTTGAGGGCACTGGATTTTTTTTTTGGGGGGGGTGGGGGGTGGGTTGGTTAGATGTATCATATATGTATCATTTGGGAAAGTTATTTAACATCTCCAAACTTCAGTTTTCTCATTTCTATAACAGGGAGAAAATTATTGACTTTGTGGAGTTGTTGAAAGAATTAAAGGAAAGACAGAATACTAAATATTGTAGAAGTTATCACTAATCTAGGTTATAAACTCAAAGTATAGGCAAGCTAATACAACTAGAATTGATTTTAATTTCCAAAATCCAACATCTAAACCATATAAGCATTTTTTTTTTTTTCTGCTAAATTATTTTAATTTGGCTTCCATGTAAATAAGGAGCCCTGGTGGCTCTTGGCTGCTAAGTGAAAGGTCAGCAGTTTGAACCCCCAGCCACTTCACAGGAGTTTTTATAAAGATTGACTTGGAAACCATATGGGGCAGTTATACTCTGTACTACAGGGTCACTCTGAGTCAGAATTCACTTGATGACAGTGAGTTTGCTTTTGGTTTCTGAATGAATACCAACCACCCAAGTGTAAAGGATATACAAAACTCTCCCCAACTCAACCTATTCGCTTGTTGTAAAATAGGATTGTGAACACTTACAACATTCAGCATCATGATGATTACAAAATTAATACAAACACCAGCCGCAGATGTTGCAAACTGCCAGTGCTGTTTGATGAAACTCCACTTGAATGACGCAAACTGTTCCATGACGACCAGGCGATACACCACTACTGCAAACACTGCCGTGATCACCAAAGAAATCTGCAAGGTGGGAGACCAGAGGAGACAGCCATATTTTGCATAATTAACAAGTTAAAAAGTAAACTATAGCCCTCAAGAGCTGGAGGTGTTTATCATTCTAAGAGAAGATACATTAATTTAATTTTCTCCTTTAAGTCAAAATAAATAGTATTAAGTTGGTTTGGTGCAACAAAATTGTTATAGTAAAATGCAAATTCTCCTCACACTACTATGTTCAAATAAAGTGCTTGGTTTTAACATCTGTGCAATAGACCTACTTCATCAGAGCAATTCACATCATTTCCATTTTATTTTAGATAATATCTGTTTCTTCCCCAAAGTATTTTATTTATGGATTTGCAAAAACTCCCTCTGTCATATCTCCATGGCCTCTTGTAATTTCTATTTTGTTTAATACTATACGTGTTACTTGTTGTTGTTGTTATGTGCCGTTGACTCGGCCTCGACTCATAGTGACCCCTCCTTGGGTCTCCCAGGCAGTATCACTACGGAAGTAGATTTCCCAACCTTCCTTCCGAGGAGTGGTGGGTGGGTTTGAACGACCAACCTTCTGGTTAGCAGTCAAGTGCCTTAGGCACTATGCTACCAGAGCTCCTATGTGTGTTACTAGAGTATTGATAAAGGGACATAGTTTCTTGAATCCTCTGGGCCACAGTATAAGTTAGTATCACAGCCCTTACTCCTAAACCCAGAATCCAAAATTTCCCTTATTTTTCCAGGGAGAGGGGGAAATCAATTTTATTAGATTCCAATATTAATGGTTATACTTTACCATGAAGAATATTCCTGAGACAGAGATAAGAAGACGAGTGATTTTGTCTGAGAAGGGCTGATGTGGCTCAGGTTTTCCTGTAATGGGATTCACTCTCTCCATTGTGTAATACTTTGCTTCAAACTGGGGACGGATTGTTTCCTACAACAGAAAATAAAGTTGCCTAAATGTCAAAGTTATCAACTTAAAAAAGAAAAATGTCTTCCAATAGTTGATACAAAAGTCCTAGAAGTTGGTCTACTTTATATTGTCTTCCCAAAAAAGTAGTGTTGTTTGTTTGTTCAAATAAGAAGTAAACTATTTTCCAAAAAAAAATCTTAAACTGTATTTTAATCAGAAAATTTTTTGCACTAGGGTAATTAAGGAAATATCATAGAAGTATTTGGAAGATGATTTACTTCACCATTGAGTTCTATCATGTTCATGAAATAAAAAAAAATGTTATTTTTTAAAAAATTCAAGATAAATCCTTATGGAGTTTAGCTGTTGCTAGCCTGAATGTTAAAGTCAGTGAATAACTTTTGCATCAGATGTCTTCCCAGTTTTCTTATATCTTGATTACTTCATATCTTACCTCCTCCTCTTCCCATTCAATCAGGTCCCAAGCATAGGTAAGTATACTTCTTCTCCTTTTCCAAAACTCTAGGAAGACTGTGGCTGTATATATAAAAATAATAAGGATTGTTTACCCAAACAGCATAAAGTTGCTTTTCTCCTTTAGACTGTTGCATTTCCATTGTATTATATTGAATTTTCTCTCTCTCTAATCGGGATAGTTATTCTTCACCCACAATGTCTGGCAAGAACATATCTCAGGCATTCATTCATGCATCCATTAATTAGTTTGTTTATTTATTTTCAGACTGATTCTAAGTACTACTCCACTGATTTTTTTTTAAAGTTCTAACATGTGACCATGGTTTAAAAAGTGAGACATTCATGAAATACTGCAAAGCATCTTCTCAGATCATAATGCTGTCAAATTAGAAATCAATAATAGAAAGATCAGCAGCAAAAGAGTAAACACATGGAAA